TAAGACTACAATGGAACAAAAGGCAGAGTATCAAGGGAATTAAACCATTATTTTTTTTTCATTGCTTTGAAATATTGAAATACTAACTTCAAGAGTGCTCCAATGAGTCAAAGACATCTTAGGGGTAATGATTTTTCAGATGTTTCAATATTAGGACAACCTTAAAATTTTAAAAATTAAGGAAACCAAAGACTTTTTATTTTTATAGATTATATCAGTATTTACTGTATTTGAAACTAAAATTGGAAAAATGTTTACTGTTTTATTGATCAAAAATACTAAACTTACAATATGATACTGAAAAATATTTTTGAAAAAAAAATCTTCAGAACAAAAAATTAGTGCTAAGAGTGGTGGTGTTTGAAATTTTTTGCAAACCTCTTTCAATGCCTGACTGGAATAGTCTGTGAGGTCTGCTATAACAAAAGCACCACAGACAAATGGCTTAAATGACAGGAGTGTATCTACTCACGGTTCTGGGGACAGAAGTCCAGGAGCCAGGCGTCTGCAAGGCTGGTCTCTCCTGAGGCCCCTCTCCTTGGCTTGCTGGTAGCTGCCCTCCTGTGGCCTCTTCACATGGTTGTCCCTTTGAGTGTGCACTGCTGGTGGACTCTCTGTCCATCCATGTTTCCTCTTCTCATAAGGACACCAGTCAGACTGTATTTAGAAGCCGCCCTAACAGCCTCATTTTAACTTGTATGTTAGTTGCTCAGTCATGTTTGACTCAATGTGACCCCATGGACTGTAGCCCACCAGGCTTCTCTGTCCATGAGCTTCTCCAGGCAAGAATACTGGAGTGGACTGCCATGCCCTCTTCCAGGGGATCTTCTGGACTCAGGGATCGAACCTGGGTCTCCTGCATTGCAGGTGGACTCTACCATCTGAGCCACAAGGAAAACCTCCTTGTGGAAAGGCAGCTTTTAACTTATCACCTCTTTAAAGGGCCTATGTCCTAACATTCTTGGGCACTTGGGAGTCAGGGTCTCAGCACATGAATTTGAAGGGTGAGGGACACAGTTCACTCAGTAACAACGGCTCAACAGAAGACAGCTGAATTCTGAGATCTTCTTTTGAGTTAAATATTTTGCAATATCTCATGCCATGCAACTTCTGAAAAACAGTAATCTATACTCATGAGAAAATGAGTATGAAAAATGAGAATGAGAAAGGTAAATAATGCCTTAGATTGTGAAAATAGTCCTGCTGCTCTAGGGTAGCAACCGAAATAATAACTGAATGCATAGAGTAGAATACGAGATAATGAAGCATATTTGATTAATACAAAGAAAAGCAAAAAAGGAGAAATGGAAGAAACAAGGTAACACAAGCAGACTTACACCCAATGAGTAATTACATGAAATTAAAATGGATTACACTCAACAATTAAACTACAGAGATTGTCAGACTAGATAAAGACAAGACCCTAAATGGATGCTGCTTACAGGAGACATACTGTAAATATAAGGACACAGATTAGGTTAAAAGTAAAAAATAGGAGAAAGACATATATCGTGTATATTTGCTTTCTACTGCTGCATAACGCATTAATGGAAACAGTGGCTTAAAACAACAACTGTTTATTAGCCCACAGCTCTGTGGGTCAGGAGTCCAAGCACAGTGAGGCTGGGTTCTCTGCTCAGGTCTCAAAGGCTGAAATCAAGGAGTCAGCTGGGTTGATTCTTGTCTGAAGGCTGAGGAAGAATCCATTTCTGAGCTAAATCAACTTGTTATCAAAATTTAGCTCCTTGCAGTTACAGGACTGATGTTCCTATTTCCTCGCTGGGCTCAGTCACAAGCTGCTCTCAGGTCCTACAGGGTGCACATTCCTGGTCATGTGGCCCCTCTGTCTTCAAGGTCAGCAATGAAGAACGTGGCTCACACTGACTCCTCCTCATATTTCCAATCTCACTCACCAGGAGGAGCCCCACACTTCTTAAGATCTCAACTGATTTGGTCTGGCCCACTGAGGGTAATTTCATTATTCTGAGTCAACTGATTTGGGACTTCAGTTATATTTGCAAAATCCCTTCACAAAAGTACCTAGATTAGTCTTTGACTGAGTAACTGGGAACCTCTTGCATACCAGGGGCCAGAAGTTTAGGGAGCAATTTAGAATTCTGCCTAACACACCATGCAGACACAAACTGAAAGAAAACTATATCTATAATATAGAAAGATATTGTAATAACTTGCAAATAACCAGAAAGAGTTATCAATTAAAAAATGGGAGAAAGTCTTGAATGGCACTCCTCAAGAGAGGATATTCAAGAAGCCAGTAAACACCTAGAAATGGACTCAACATCAGTAGAGCGTAAGGTGATGCAGATTAAACCTCTAACATGATAACACTACACCCTGGAACCAGGCTCTGGCACCTTCCAGTTCATGGAACTGCTCTAGTAAAGGTGCCCTGCATTATCTGTGCCCCCAAGTCCAAAGGACATCTTTCAGTTCTAAGGTCACTTTAACCTGCTGACCTTACTGCTTAGCTTTTCTGTTGGGGAGGTAAGGCAGACGGGGTATAGGTGTGATGAGGGTTTGAAAGCAGAAAGGAACAGCCAACAGAGTTGGTATCATGTCATGCAGACTGTTTGGCAATATAGTTTCTTAACTTTCCAGTCAGAAAGTGGTACGTTTTGTCCAAAGACACATCTAGTAATAGTTAATAAATTTCACTATTAAAATTCAATCAAAATAGTCATTTTAACCACAATGTCAAATTCATTTTAGGGAGACAGTTCCCATCACTCACCCGAGATCCCCTTCACAACATTGTGGGAGGAAATCTGACTTTCCTTCAGTATCCATTAAAAGTGTTGACCTACATGCCTTGTCCTTTTCAGGGGTCAGGTCCACGGTCTGTTAGGGCCTTCTGGGACCAGGATTACAGCCTCTCGGTTCCCATTTTGACTGCAGGACTCTCTTAGTATTTCCAATACTAAGTATTGGAAAGTATTTCTAATACTTTAAAATGAACTTGGGAGTCCTTGGCTGTTTCCCTTTCTATACTCCAGTAATACAGTGTTGTGTGGAGCTGTACAAGACCTTTTCACCACTGTGATCTCCTTTGGTGCCATGTTGAAAATGGAACTTGTCCTGAGGCTTGCAAACCTTCTGGTCTATAACCTGGACACAAGTTCCAGATATTCTTGGATATATTTTGCATCTACCTAAAATTTCTATTACCTCCTCCAAATGAAACTGAGAGAGTGAGGGGTGGTGGTGAAACACTGGATAATTTCTTTGGAAATTAGGCAGCATCCAAACCAGTTCCCAAGCTCTTAAGATACATGACCACTCCTGCCCTGCCAAGGAATACTCAGCATCCAGGGTAATTCCTGGGACATGACAGGTGTCCACAGGAAAAAAAAATTAGCTTCACAAAAAAATAGGTTTTCAATGTTTACATAAATATTACATGCTCACTGGAAAGAAAAACTGAAAAATATGGAAAAACACAGAAAGGTAATACAAAAAAAAAACCCCACTGGATTCTCAAAAAAATCTGAAATGAATGTCATTAACTTTTTGGAGACCATCCCTTCATTCATCGTTATCAAATGTTTACACAAATACATAGTTTTATACCATATACATTGCATTTACATTTTTCTGTTATCCCAGTCTTTCCCCGCACTTATCTCATGCTTCTCCTTTTCTCCCTCCCTTTGAGGTAACCAATATTAACAGCTTGGTGTATATTCTTGTTACCTGTTTCAATGCTCATCTAATCACATGCACACATATACACACAAATGCATGTGTTCATTACTTTAACAAAAATGAAATTTTGTACACATACATCTCTGTAATAAAGCACTTACTTACCAAAAAATTGTGGAAACACCTTTTAGTCAACTAGTGTAAATATAACTCATTTTAAAAATTACTCTAAAAAAAAATCACTCTCATGTTGTTCCATGGTATGGCTATATAACAGTTAATTCACCCATTCCCCAATTCATTGGCATTCACTTTGTCTCCAGTTGGGTTTCATCTCTGTCTCTACAAATAATACTTTAACAAACATCCTTACTTATGCATATACTTTTGCACTGATGCTACTATTTCTGTGCAGCAAATTCTCAAAGTGAGACTGCTGGGTCAAAATGCTTTTAAACTTTTACTTAAAAATCTAAAAAGTATATAGCTGAATTGCAAGTGGAAATATAAGTTGATATAATCATTTTGTATGAGTATATGGTTTACCAAACTCCACTAGCAAAACATCTTAATTTTTGCCAACTCCACGAAGTGGAAGTAACATCTCATGGGTTGTTTTAATATGCACTTCCCTGAGTGCTATTTATTTAGGTTCATAATATTGTCATAGGTTAATGCATTTGGAGTTGTTTTTCTATGAACAGCCATCTAGTCCAGATGGATTAAAACCTCAATGTAGAGAATAAAATTATAAAAATCTTAGAAACAAATTTAAGAGGTTATATATAACCTGGGGATTACATGGGTCCTTTTAACTGAGTAAATCAGGAATATAAAAAGGAGAAGATGTTTTAATATAAAAAATTAAAGACTTACAATCTTTTACTATATAAAAAATACAAAGACAAATACTAGGTTAAGAAAAACATTTGGAACACACGTGAGAAAGGATTAATATCTCAAATACATTAAGAGCACCTCCAGATTCATAAGAAATATAGACAATAGGAATATATATAAAAATATATAATAATATATAATATATATAAGCAAATCATTGAAGACAACTTGTTAAATGAATATGAAATTTGGATGAAGGCTTTCACATGCCCTTTTTATTATGAATTTTCTTATAATTTCTAAGATTTAAGATGACCAACTGCTTTTCTACATTCTTATAAAGCATCTCTTCAGTGTGTATTTTCTGGTGAATTGCTCCTGGATGTTTTCCCACATTCATAAAATGTACAGTTTATAAGATTCTTGTTACTATCTGAATGATGATTTGCTGTTCTCTATATTAACTGAATTTCTCTCTGATGTGTTCTTTGATGTACAGTAAGGCTGGAGCTACTCCTAAAGGCTTTTCCACATTCACTGCATTTATAGGGTTTTTCTCCAGTGTGCATCCTCAGATGCACAATAAAGTCTGAGTTAGTTCTGAAGGCTTTTCCACATTCTTCACATCCATAGGGTCTCTCCCCGGTATGAATTCTCTGGTGCAGAGTTAGCTGTGATAGAGTAATACAACCCTTCCCGCATTCCTTACACGAGTAGGGTTTTTCTCCAGTATGTGTCCTCCAATGAACTGTAAGGTATGAACCCCTCCTGAAGGCTTTTCCACAGACATCACATTTATAGGGTTTCTCTCCACTATGGATTTTCTGATGCTCTGTAACATGTACCATCTGGCTAAATGCTTTGCCACAGTCATTACATTTAAATGGCTTCTCCCCGGTATGTGTTCTTTGATGGGTATTAAAGCCTGAGTTACTTGTGAAAACTTTCCCACATTCATTACATTTATAGGGTTTCTCTCCAGTATGCCTTCTCTGATGCACAGTAAGCTGTGATGTATTAGTGAAAGCTTTCTCACATTCATTACATTTATATGGTTTTTCTCCAGTGTGGGTCCTCTGATGTACAATAAGGTATGACTTAGTTCTGAAGCATTTTCCACAGTTGTAGCATGTGTAGGGTTTCACGCCAGTGTGAATTTTCTGGTGCTCCTTGAGATTTACCATTTTGGTAAATGCCCTCTCACAGTCAGTACATTTATATGGTTTCTCGCCAGTATGAATCCTCTGATGTACAGTTAAGTGTGATTTTATTCTGAAAGATTCCCCACATTCATTACAGAGATAAGGTTTCTCCTCAGTATGAATTCGCTGATGTATAATTAGAGATGAAGAACGCATGAAGGCCTTTCCACATTCATTACACTTATAAGGTTTCTCTCCTGTATGCATCCTGTGGTGTACACTAAGGCATGAATAATTAATAAATGCTTTCCCACATTCATTACATTTATAGGGTTTTTCTCCAGTATGAATCCTTTGATGTTCTGTGAAATTTGCTATACGATTGAATGCTTTCCCACATTCATTACATTCATAGGGTTTTTCCCCAGTGTGAGTTCTGATATGTACAATAAGACTGGAATTACTTCTGTAGGCTTTTCCACATTCATTACACCTAAAGGGCTTCTCTCCAGTATGAATTCTCTGATGAACATTAAAGATTGTGGTATTCTTGAAAGATTTCCCACACTCATTGCATTTATATGGTTTCTCTTCAGTATGGGTCTTCTGATGTACACTAAGATATGACTTATTCCTAAAGGCTTTCCCACAATCATTACATTTGTAGGGTTTCTCTCCATTGTGAGTTTCCTGATGTCTTGCAAGTTTTGATTTATCACTAAAAGCTTTCCCGCATTCACATTTATAGGGCTTCTCTCCAGTTTGAATTCTCTGGTGTTGATTAAGGCGTGCACACTGGCTAAAAGATTTTCCACAGACATTGCATTGATAAGGTTTCTCCTTAGTATGAATTCTCTGATGCACCATAAGTGATGAAGAAGCAATGAAAGCCTTTCCACATTCACTACATTTATAGGGTTTTTCTCCACTGTGAATTTTTTTATGTTGACTAAGATAAGAAGGCTGGCTGAACATTTTCCCACATTCATTACATTCATAAGGTTTTTCTTTAGTGTGAGTTCTCTGATGTTGAATGAGTAATGACCTATAACGGAAGGCCTTTTCACATGTACTACATTTATAGGGTTTTTCTTTATTATTGGGTTTTTTCCCTAAATTGAGTTCTGAGGCAGGGCTTATGACTTTGCTGCCTTGTGTATCCTTGCAAATTTCCTTTCTCAGATGGGTATCTGTGATCAAATCTAAACCCTCTGTAAAATTTCCATCATGTGTTTGGTATTTGCCATGGGGTTCTTCTGCAATAACTTCTGGTTCTGGAAGAAGAGCAGATCCAAACTCAAAGCCTTTCTGAATGGTGGGGATTTTCTTGTGTTTAACTGTTCTTTGGCCCACAGGACTCTGCTGACTATACTGCAGTCTCAGTATCCTGTCACCCCACTTCCATAATCCTCCCATTTCAGGGTCCCATAGACCATTCTCTGTGAGTTTCTCTACAATGGCCTCCTGTGATAACTGTTTTTTAGAAAAATCCTCCGTTGGTATAGTATTCTTGGTTGTAGGTTTGGTCTCCAACTCTGGGAGGAAAAAAAGAAAAATCAAATGACTCCTATTTCAGGTTGAGGAGATTGTACTAACAGCATAACAAAAGGGAAGCTTGAGTTGATAATGAACATATTTTTTTTTTTTTTTTTTGATAATGAACATGTTTTTAACCGCTTGCAAATTGGCCTTGTTTTCTATGAAGAAGGAGGTAGGGTTAAGTGTGGCTGATTGAGCAAAGAACCACAGCAGTAATTCAAGAAGTTTTCTTCCTACTAAAAAAAATTCATTCCTGGTAACCCTTCTACGGTCCAAGTTTCTCAAATATTTCTTCCTTTTCTCATTCCTTTTAGAGTCAAATTCTTTAGAGAGCTTCTTCAAAAGCTGTAACTACTTCCTTGATTCCCATTTACTCCACAAACCAGACATTCACCCCCAACAATAATTTCCACTTGTTCTCATTATTTGTTCACTAGCTTTTCTGTGAGGGCTTTCTCTGACATTTCCTTGTCAGAATAGCTTCATCAAGTCTTCAGATGTATCTTTTTTTTTTTTTTGCTCTCAATTTAGTAGATTTAAAAAATTGTATTTATCTATTTAAGTACAGTTGATTTATTATACAATGTTGTATTAATTACTGCTGTGCAGCAAAGTGATTCAGTTATACATACATGTTATTTTTTAAAAAATATTCTTTTTTGTATCTTTTTACGGAACATTTATGGAAGACACTGATTTTTCAGAAAGTAGGTTGAACTAGTCAAAATTAATATAGTTGTGAATATTACAAATAACGACAATTACTTTTATCAAGAGTAGTTTTGCAACCTTTTTATGGGTGTTAAGAAAATTTCTGACAGTTTCAAAATTTTCTTAAACAATTATACTGGGTGGTGGTGGTCTTATAATTTATTTGTATATGCAAACTTAATATTTTACATTTTAAAACACTTTCAAACTTCTTATTTCCAAGTAATCACATCTAAATTTAAGAAAAAATGGAATCAAAATCTGTGGTTAGTAAAATGGTTTTATGAAAAAAGAAATGGTTTGATGATTTTAAAACTCAAGTTAAGTAGAACTTTCAATGAATTCACAGGGTAGGACAAAGGTCTGAATCCAGGGTCACCAAAAAAAGACCACTCTAGAACCCAAGGACTAAAAACCCAGATGATTTAAATATCTAAATGAATTAAGGTGACAGGATTTTTTTTAGGGAAAAAGAAAAATGGAGAGAATATGACACCAGCATATCTGAACAAAAGAGAGTATTGAAAGGTGTTCTTTAAGTAGAAGAAAAATAATCTTAGTTAAAAGGGTAAATATTGGTTAAATAGGTAAATACTGTATTTTGATTCTCAACTGATTTATTGCTCATATTCTCAATAAGTTAAGATCCTGGAAGAGTGGAGGGGGCTTCAGCAGTCTTATAAGTGAAGAAAGTTAAATAATCAGTCAACAGGTTTAGCTTAAAAGAAATCAGTGATGATCCTTAAGAAAGTACTTTTAGGAAAATGAAAGAAGAGATATCAGATACATAATAGTTAAACAAATGAGAAAAATATAAAGTTAACTGGAGAGGAAAGAATTGAAGGAGTGAAGAAGAAATGAAAGATTATGAAAATCATGTTCCCAAGAAAATAAAATAGGATGGGATGGGGACTACAATTACAGGGCAGAGATGAGGGAGAAAGAAAAGGAGAGAAAAAGGGAGCGAGGGAGAAAAGGCAGGAGGGAGGTGTAAGGAGAGAGGATGAGATGGGGAGAATCTCTTCCTCTGAGACAGCTTTGAACAAAGCTTTGACAAAGCTATTGAGCTTTGTCTCAATACCACCCAGATATTTCAAATATTCTGCTCCATCCATGACCCACTGACTTTAAATAAATCTCATCCTCCAGTTTCTTATTAACTCACCTGAAAAGGGGGTTCTTGAAATTTCTCTCACTACCACCCATGGTCCTTTTCCATCCTCCAAATGAGATATCATGTCTGGTTTGGAAATTGCAAGCCCTGCTCAGAGAAAAATGAATAGGATTTGATTGTGCCTATGAGCAAGAACCCAAAGAAGGCAATGGCACCCCACTCCAGTATTCTTGCCTGGAAAATCCCATGGACAGAGGAGCCTGGTAGGCTGCAGTCCATGAGGTCGCTAACAGTAGGACATGACTGAGCGACTTCACTTTCACTTTTAACTTTCATGCTCTAGAGAAGGAAATGGCAACCTACTCCAGTGTTCTCGCCTGGAGAATCCCAGGGACGGGGGATCCTGGTGGGCTGCTGTCTATGGGGTCGCACAGAGTCAGACACGACTGAAGTGACTTAGCAGCAGCAGCATGAGCAAGGACCAGGGTCAACCGCTCTTTTATTTCCTGTGTGGAGTGGCTATGAGAAGTTCTAGAGGTGCGCTGTACAAGGCAGCTGCCAAGAGCCACCTATGGCTATTTAACTGTGAATTTAAATTATTTAAAATTATATACAATTTAAAATTCAGTTTTTCATTTTACTAGCCAGATTTCAAGTTCTCAGTAGCCACAGTATCTACTGCCTGTCATACTGGACAGCAAAGATCCAGCAAATTCCCATCACGGGAGAACAACCTACTGTATAGCAGTGTGGTAAAGAATTACAAAGGGACCTCAAAGAAGCTCTAAACTGTAATCCTAGGTTTGGAAATAATCTGTTTAGAAAGAAAATAAACATATTTGTTCATTCTTTCTAGAGGCACTGGTAACTCTTACTCTGGAAATGACTGGAAAAAACTTTAGTCCTCAATCGGAGGGACTGTCAACACTCTCCAAGATTACAATGAAGTACGTATTTCTTACTCTACAATTGGCAGACCATTAAGTTAAGAGCAAGAGACAGTATAACTCTTTACAATATGCCCCTAAGACTGAGATTTTAATGCTTAAATTCTAACCCAAAATTCAGTTGAGTATTTTAGAGAATCTATTATCTTCAGTAAAACTGGTCCAGTGGCAGGTACATAAGCACAGAGCTTATCCTTACCCAAGGAGACAAGATTCCTGTAATTCTCTAGCATCACATCCTTGTGCAGGTCCCTCTGTGTAGGGTCCATCAACCTCCACTCTTCCAATGTGAAGTCTACAGCCACATCTTTAAATGTCACTGATTCCTGAAATAAATACAGAGATCCCTCAGGGGACTGTACGGTTAGACCTATTAGGTAGATTAATACACACAAAACTGGGGAAGGAAACTAGCAGTTTCCACCCAAATGTTTCCTTCCTCAAAATCCTGCCTTATGTATATTATCAACTTTTTTTTAGTTCTATTCTATAAAATATGGCTTTATAAAATACATAGTTTATCATTCAGATTGTAGTTATAGAATATTATAAGCTGTCTGAGAAAGAAAAATAAGAAATCATGGGACCTTGAGGAGCTTTTTTGGTCAGGTTATAAAATATATGTATATGCGTCTTGTAAAAAAAAAAATCAAAGAATGAGCTATAACATTGTTTTAATGGTTACCTATTAGAGGAAGGAGGAAATAGAGTGAAGAGAACTAGAACAGAAGCTAGATTTCCTTGAATATTTCCTGCCTTGTAGATTTGACTTTTGATCCATACAAATACTTTATATTATTATAAAAGAAAAACTAAATTTAAAAAAGCAATTCCTAAAAATTAAAAGTAAAATGAAATCAACTGGTAGCATACACATTCATCAGAGAGGAACTATTTTGAGCATCTTTAAAACACAGTAATTTTTCTGTATATATCTTGAGAGATATATTCTGAGGAAAAAAAGAACTGCAAAAAACAGCACATTTTCAGTAACTAATCCTACTGCTGGTGGCAGTGATGGAAATGCTAAGCTATTTTGTAACTGTTGTGTGTGTGTGAGTTGCTCAGTCATGTCTGATTCTTTTGCCACCCCATGTACTGTAGCCCGCCCGGCTCCTCTGTCCATGGAATTCCCCAGCACGAATACTGGAGTGGGCTGCCATTTCCTACTCCAGGGTAATGTTCCCTACCCAGGGATCAAACCCAGGTCTTCTGCATTGCAGGCAGATTCTTTACCATCTGAGCCACAGCATTTACCCACATTGTGTGTGCAGTGTTGGATAAAGCAAATTAGAATACTGGTATCATTCAGAGCTAATAAATCTGCCATGGGAGAAAGAACATATAGATTCAATGTCAATGAGATTATGTATAAACTCCAGAGATTCAAAACTGAATTGGAAATATTGGTATAAACTCACAAAATAGTTTAAGGAAAATATCCCATCATACTTCCTAGGTTTGTCCACTGAAAAGGTCTAGAAATGATAACCAAAAAGGTACTTCTATGCAGTTTAGACGGTGACCTCTACAGATTCCACTAAATGAAACAAGGACCTGGAACTTTCTGTCATAATTAAAAGCAAGGAAACTCTAAAAGACTACCAGGATAATATCTAAGACATTGGAGACAACTTAAAGAGGTTCCCACTAGTC